ATTGGTTTCTGGCCAACCAATAAGATTTTCAGGTGATTGGATCCCTAATTCGAACTTATCGCCCTCGAAAACCTGTGGTTCCATGTTTTCTGTGTGTTCACAAAGTACTGGTCAATAGTACTTTCATAGTACCGAATATTGCAATCAGATTGGTCAGCAACATAGACATGCTTTTTCCGGGCGAAGGACCAATTCTTTTTGAAAAAACTAGGTGTTAAACTTCTCCTAGATGCGAGGAGAATTCCTGGAAAGTTTGATTGCATTCGCTCGTACAGTGTGGAAATGCATAAAGAACAGACAAACAGATAAGCATCCTTCTTTATATATAAGAGCAAATTCTATAGATCCGTCTGAATTGTCCTATGACGTGAAAAGCATCCTCAAAGCTCTCCAACAACAGGGATTAGATTTGACATCTTCCTAACAAGATACAAATAGAATCTTCTCAAGATTTTCTCAGTTTAGCAGTTTTACATAGTTCTTCTTGTCTGATATTCATGTAAATGATCATCCGACAAAAAGATTCTGCATTCTCGTAATTTCGAATAACACTCTCAGACCTCTATGTTATTCTATCAAAAGCTTACATGGAATTAGCATTATTCTTTATCGGACAGATCTCCTTACAGCAATCTCCAGGTATTATCTTTAGGGTCGAAAAGATCTTGGCAAGAACTAGAAGTAACATAGATGTAAGAATCGTTAGTAAATCCTTTTTTTCTCATAAGAAACTAGGAAAAGACTTCTGAATTTTTATCTGTGGAATGAGCATTCTGAAAGATGACTGTCTTATTTGTAGCGCCTGCTCCCACGAGAGATGGAATCTCTTCGACAACAACGATTTCTTTTCTTTTTTGTTCATTGTAGTAATTCCCAATATTCCAGAGAAGGCGTCATAGATATTGATTAGGATCGACATTTGTGTACTAGGCAGAGATGGGTAACTACACTATGTCCCGCTCGAACTCCACATAACTCCAGTCCTATTTTCTAAAACTCCACATCAATTTCAACTGCAGTGTGTTCCGCTCCAACCCTACACCACTCCACTCCTTTTTTATAAAATCCTACTCCAACTCCGATTTAACTTCAATTTCAGTCGAACTTTACAAAGCTGAACTTCTGCCAAAATACTCTTAAATACACATAAGTTTTTGAACTTAATTAAATCTACGATTGATATCAATTAGTAGCACATTAATTTATTGCTTTATAAACTTTCTCATAAAATTCAAAGATAGGCACCTCCATTCTACCCCGCTCCTACTCCATATAACTCCACTCTCACTCTGATGAGAAAAAGCATCAACTTTGGAGTTGAAATTGTCCATCTCTGATATCAACCATTCAAAAATACTTACTCTTCAGATCCTCCTGAACATATCCATAACATGCGAGCTTACAGAAGACTTCTCAGAACAAGTACTACATAAGGATTATAGCATGATCCTCATAGAAGATACTCATTATTTTTAGATTTTTAGATTTTGACAGAGTATCTTATTTAGTCATCAAGATTCTCTTCGAGGACCCTAATACAATGGTTTGAAGATGATGCTCATCAAAAGTTAAAAATAGCATTTTAGAACACTTTCTTTTCAAAGCCCATAAAATCCATAGATCCCATTGTTTGTCACTGGAGAGCTCCGTTCGGATTGGCATCTATCTTTTCAGCATTTGCAAAAGTAGAACCCCTCTCAGATTACATAGATTCGCGTGGAATCCTCTCAACTTTGTTCAGTTTCGCCTGTATCCAAGCCTTCTCATGATCTTACTCAGAGTACATCACGGTTGTTCTTCAAACAGCTTCACATAACTTAACAAAAGCCTTATAAAATTTCACCAGCATTCTCTATGCAAATACTTAGAAGATTCTTCGACAGATCTACATTCATCATACAGAAAATCATGTATCCTTAGGGTTTCCTAAAAAACATAGCGACTAGGTTTGATATTTTGTTGTACAACAATTCGATATTCTTCTCACAAGATACAGATAGAATCTTCTCTGATGTTCATATAAATGATCATTCTGCCAAAAAGATTCTGAATTCTTGCAATTCTGAAAAAAATCCTCAGATCCTTATGTTTTTCTATCAAAAACTTACATGGAATTAGTATTACTCTTTCTTGGAGAACCTCCTTACAGCAATCTCCAGGTATTATTTTTATGATCAAAAAGATCTTGGCAAGAACTAGAAATAACATAGATGTAAGAATCGTTACCAAATCCTTTTTTCTCATAGAAAACTAGGAAAAGACTTCTGAATTTTTATCTGTGGAATGAGCATTCTCAAAGATGAATGTCTTATTTGTAGCGCTTGCTCTCACGAGAGACGAGATCCCTTCGATAACGACGATTTCTTTTCTTTTTTGTACATTGTAGTAATTCTCAATATTCCAGCCGATGCCCGATGGGCCCAGAAGGGAGTGACTGTTGCTGGAGGTCATGGACAAGGCAATGCTACCAATCAACTCTACTGGTCTTATGGTCTCATCGTTGATGATGATCAAACGATGATCATCGCTGACTACGACAATCATCGTATCATCCAATGGAAGATGGGTGATACGAATGGACAAGTAGTAGCTGGTGGTAATGGCCAAGGAAATCGATTGGATCAATTGAATGAACCAACCGATGTATTGATTGACAAAGAGACGGATAGTCTCATTATTTGTGATCGGCAGAATCGACGAGTCGTACGATGGTCTCGTCGTAGTGGTACAACTCAAGGAGAAATCCTCATCGACAACATCCGTTGTTGGGGATTGGCCATGGATGATCAGAGATATCTCTACATCTCTGACACCGACAAACATGAGGTAAAACGATATCAAATAGGAGACAAGAATGGAACTATCGTGGCTGGTGGCAATGACAAAGGTACTGGTCTCAATCAACTCGACGTTCCGACCTACATCTTTGTCGATCAACAACATACTGTTTACGTGTCAGACAACTACAATTATCGTGTAATGAAATGGAATAAAGGTGCAAAAGAAGGAATTGTCGTCGCTGGAGGTCAAGGCGAAGGGAATGCTCTGACACAATTGAAACATCCTGACGGACTGTTTGTGGATACATTGGGTACCATCTATGTGGCAGACTCGTCGAATCATCGAGTGATGCGTTGGCCTAAAGGAGAGAAACAGGGCACTGTTATTGTGGGTGGAAATGGTAAAGGAGAAGGAGCAAATCAGTTTCACTATCTCCGAGGTTTGTCCTTTGATCAACAAGGCAATCTCTATGTCGTCGATCATTACAATCATCGTGTTCAACGTTTTTCAATCGAATAGACTCAAAACGATGGAGTATTTTTTTTTTGCGTTCCTTTCGTTTCAAATAAATCGCATTGAATTGATGAAATGAGTGTCTGTTCTATTCGCGCGCGCGACCAGGAACCATCCTGGTGGAGCCGTGGCGAGTGTAACACTCATGCGCACACGGGACAGACTCATATCATTCACATCCCATCCACTCGAGAGATATGGCAATGAGTCTGGGGAAGCCCAATCGTGTGCCACAGACACCAAAATAGTTCCTGGCCGGGTTTTTAGGGCCTACCCGGAAGGCCTGATAGATAACCAGAGTCTAATCTCAATGGACATGGCTCATCCATCCTTCCCACTAACGCTCACATTGCTGAGACTCGCCTTATTCTCATCTCAAAAAAAAATTACTCATCGTGTCTGATGTTGACGACGATGACGCGATTGATATTAAATACTAAAAAGAAAAGAAAAAAAATAAAATAATGTTATATAATGAAAACGAATAAATTAACTTACTCCATTGATATCACTTTCTTCACTGTTCAAGAACTAAAACTAAAAACAAAACATAAAACAGATCAATGGAGGACTTACCACCTCCAATATGATCCAAAAGAAAAAAAAAGAAAAGAAAAAAAAATTCAAACTAATACCTACATTTTTTAATTGTATTGCCCTGTATTGATTTGTTTAATTTCGTATTGTTGAAACCAATCTAAAATATAAAACAAAATAATTATTATTTAATTCAAATAATTGAATGATTTCTTCGTTGGAAATCATTCACTTTTATACCCTCAAAAATTGTTTTTTTTCTTGAGCGAGAAAATATTCATTATTTTTTTCTCGTCGGAAAATAATTAGACGTCGATTTCAATTAAGCTTCAATCGCGACATACACATACATTGAGATATATTTCATCACAAATATCTCAATGTATATGTGTGGATGAAGCTTAATTTTTTTACACATTAATTGTATATATTATCATGGATCATCAATGATAACATGAATGACGACTTATTGACGAGAGAAGACAAAAAGAAAAATTCCTCTCTTGACCTATTTCGTTTTTCTTTTTCTCTCTCACCTCACACATCTTCAATAGGCGTACAGAGTAGACGAACACACACTCACATGTACAGGATGCTGTGGGTGTGGGTGAGTGTGGGTGTGAGTGTGGGTGTGGGTGTGGGTGTGTGGGTGTGGGTGAAAAGAAGATTCACACCCACACTCACACCCTTAAAAGGTGATACGAAAGGCTATGGTATTATCGTCATCATATAATGAATATTTGGTGGAGGAAATCATGAAATGTGTCTGAAGTATAATTCAAATCTGATATCAAATTACTCATCGATTAAAGTTCTTTCATCCTATATATGATTGTACTGGATTTAGTGTGAAAAAGTTCTATGGACTAAATCATGTTCTTATGCGACCCTATCCTTTGTTCTTTTTTTCACATAAAGCTTGTTGAAAAATAGTTGAATACAATTTACACGATGACAAAAGTAACACAAATATGTACAAGTGCCATGATTTTTCTTTTTATTTAAACTAAGCTAAAAAATTAATGATGTGTTATCAAACCTAAAACTAATAATAATCAAGTGAATGCAATATAACGAAGTTGAATAATAATAATGTTTCATAGAAAAAATATCACGTAGAAAGGCAATGATCACTCGGATTGATAGACGAATACAGAAAAAAAAGCCGTTTAACTGTCTTCAACTCCTTCATCGGGTTCTAATGCATAGGCTTCTTCAGCTGACATGTAATATTTATTAGCAAGACGTCCTTTCATTGCTGCAGTTGCCATTTCTGCTGCCTTATTAAATAAATCACCTTTTAATAAAAATAAAAAGGAGAAAACATTCAATTAACTCGAATTGGACTATTACAAAATGAAATAAAAACAAAATTTACCAGCTTTTTGATAATTGCATAATAAATTATGTCCACCTGTTTTATATAAAGTAGCTAAACGAGCAACACTATCATGATGATCATGAAATGCAATGCCATTATGAGTTGAATTAGTTTGATCTGATTCATTAGATTCACTATTTTCATCCATAATATTCGATTCATTTTCACGTATACGAATGTATTTTTCATAATATTCAGTTGCTTGTTTCCAATCTGGTTCTCTAAAATAAATAAAATGAACAAAAATAAAAATGATTAATAGAATTTTAAAAAAATACAAACAAAGATCCTTCAGCACCATTATCAAAAAGTTGTGCTAAATAAAGATTTGCTTCTGTTTCATGTAGTTCACTGGCACGAATCATCAAATTAAAACCTTTACTAACTTGATTAACTTGATCCTATGAAAAACAAAAATTAATCATTTTCTATAATGATTATTTGTAAGATTAAAAGTCTACCGTTGGACGATAATGCGATAAAAGATCACGAGGTAAATCTAAATAAATTTTTGCTAATATAAATATAGCTTCTTTAATACATAATTCGACTGCTTGTTCTAAATGAAAAAATGCTGATTCTTCATCAAATTCTTCGGAACCTAATTCACTAAATCTACCAACTTGATAACATTTACACATTTCAAGATGAATCTAAATTATAAACATATTGATTTGAATAAGTCAATTGAAAAAGTTATTATTTACCACAAAGAAACAACACTATAATCTTAGAAATCATTGCTAACTCGAATGAATGCTCAGAAAGCTTTCAATACATAATTTTTAAGGCCCCCCCCCCTCAAAAATCGATCTCAGCCTAGGTACGTTCAAAATGGGCTGAACTTTGGAGCATGTGTTGGGGCTGAAGTGAGGAGACTGTGGTAAAATTTTCAGCTCGATACCATGATGTTTGACAGAGATATGAACCAAACAAGGAACAAAAAATAGCTCATCTCATCTCCAAAAACTCTCTGTGGACCTTCATTATATATATATAATTTTTTTTTTGTTTGAAAGCTTGTCTCTAGGGCTAGCCTACCTCGTGGCCCTTTTTTTTAAATTCATACTTTTTAAGCGAAGAAAATGGGTGACAAGTTCAATGACTCAAAAAGCCGCTCAAAAAATGGTGCTTTTTCTATAGAGATGTGTTCTTATATAATAATTAAAAGGCTTATTTTAAAAAAAGGGCCACGAGGTAGGCTAGCCCTAGTGACAAGCTTTCAAACAAAAAAAAAATATTTGACTTTATATCGGATTATAATTGACTTTTGTTGGAGATACGTCGTTCGACTACCACTTTGAGAAAAAAAGAAAAAGATTTTTGGGTTTTTTCAAAAACCGCTGGTTTTTCGAATAGGGGTTGTCAAAAATCTTGAACATTTTTCGGAAAAAAGGAGATATCGAAGAAAAATTTTTAACGTTTATGAAAGAGCAAATGACAGGCTATCTCCCCATGTATTTATCTCAATCTTGACCATTCTGACGAAAACTAACTTTTTTGAGGGGGGGGGGGTGGCCTTAAGGAATTCACTAATGGAATTGCTTCAATGATAAATGAACTCATGATTAAACATCAGATATGATCCAGATAATCTCAGTTCTAGCGAGACTATGTTTTGCTTTTGACTGGGATCAGAAATAACAATTCCTCATTGGCAGCAATATATTTTATAATCGTGTAAAATTTACGTTGAATGTCATATTATTACGACTCACGTATTCTAAACAGATATGAATCAAAACTCATAAATAAATTGTTTCTTTTTTTCTTTATATGAAGAATTCATATCGATGCGTAAAACTTTTTTTTTTTGGGCTTCAGTATAGAAAAAAATCTTTTGGCGAGTATAGAATTCAATCTAATTAGATTTTCTACAGTCTTATCAATCAAAAAGTAAAACTTAAATTTTGATTTGTTTTTGGGCAAAATTTGGTATATATTGTTATTCATTCTCTATTTAATAGACATTGTATTTCTATTTGATTGATGTATAATTGTATGATACTGCCCATCTACAACTTGTACTATTGACATTGTTTCATTAACGATGAAAAAAAAGAAATAAAAATCGATTACTTTAGGACAAACTATAACTTTCTTTCCATCATCATCCGATTGTTTTCTTCTTCAATCTTTTATGATAAAAGAAAATAATTAATTAATTTCATACTACAATATAGTAGTATATAACATTCTATTTCTATTGATCATGCATTCATCCATTTGCAATGAAACATAAACACGTAAACATCAAGTAAATATGATGCTTGAAAAAGGTAACCAATTTTCTTTTCTTTTCTTTTCATTGTTAATGAAACGATATCAATAGTATAAGCTGCAGATGAGCTATACTATACAATCATACATCAATCAAATAGAAATACACGGTCGATCAAATAGAGAATGAATAACAATATATACTAAATTTTACCCAAAAATAAATCAACAGTTTAAAAAAAACTACTCCTAGTTTTTCGTTTTCTCCAGAAGAATAACTAGAACTTCTCAGGTCGAAAATTTTCGAATCTAGAACCAACTCGATAGGCTCTACAACAGATACTAATATCTATCTTTGTGTTAAATCTTATAAATAATTATAAGTCATTAAATAAATTTAAACTAAAATTAATAATACCTGTCCAAGAATACTTTCATATTTTTCATAAGAAGCAGATGTTTCTTCAAATTTTCGCATTTCAATTTTTTCAAGCATAACTGATGAAGGACGATGACTGTCTCCATAACTATTCGGTGTTTGAGCGTTATACAGATCTTCCATGTTTAAGTTGAAATCCTTAAAAATAAAACAAAACTTTTCTTCAATTTTTTCTAATTCATTTAATTACTTACAGATTGTGAACGTAAAGAATCCTTTATACATAGCAAACATAAAAAAAAAGATATATTTTAAATAAAACGTAATTTTCATACAATTTTAGAAAAATACTTACAGGTGATGGACTATTCAAGCTAGCTGTTGACAATAGTGATTTAGTATTTTTAAGTAATGATGATAACAGCGAATTTTCATCATTAGGCATTGTCATAGATAGTCCAGCTTGTGGTAATGATAAACTATGATTAAGTATGCGAACAGTACCACCTGTAATTGATGATGTTTCAGAAACATAACCATCCGAATCATCTTCTGATATTAACGATGCTGAACGAAGTCGTTGAAATAATGAAGAAAATTTCGAACAATCTTTTAATGGTTCTTCCGAACCACGACATATTGTTTGAGCTGGAAGATTTGATGTATATGATGGACTTGATGCATGTTGTTGTATATGACGTTCACATTCACCAGGTGATAAGTCAAATGATGTTAAATTAAGACGTTTACATATTGGATTACATTCATGTGTAGAAAAAAATAATGTCATACCACGAATACCAAGATTACCTTCTATTAAAAATTCTTAGATAGATTCAACTCAAAGAAAACAAGATAATAAAATTTCTAACCGCCATATTCAAAACCAAGACTTGTATGAATTTGTGGATCAGTATATAAATCACCAACACCTTGAATATCAACAACAATCTGTTCATGACAAGATGCTTCGAAAGTAAAATGACTAAATGCCTTGAAATAAGCAAAAAATAAAACAATGACTATTTTTATT